AAATTTCCTTTAGGAAAAAAAAATCAAAAAGTGACCTGGATCTTCCAGATGGAAAATCGCTCGAGCCAATCAAATCACATAGAACGCTCCGAAGAACCCCGACAGAACGAAAAACACCCGGCTCCCACACGCGAGCGCGAAGGGTGTGTGAACGTGCTCTGCCCTGCGGTGGAGGCAGAACACGGCACCTCAGCGCGGTCCGCAATCTAGCAAACATGCCTGGTGGCACACCCGAGGAGGCGCCGGCCGGTGGGACCGCGCGGACTCCTCCTGCTGGAGAAAGCAGTACTCCTGCTGCTGGCGGAAAAGACAGCAGCAGCGAGGAAGCCGCCATCATCTACGCCTACAGCGAGGAAGCAGCTTTTTGCCGAGCCTCGCAAACGGGTCAGCTCCTCGTTCATCTCGCGGTTTTTCTCCTCCACCCTGCGCCTCCCCGCCTCCGCCTTCGCCTTGTCTCGTTCAGCCTCGTGCTGCCTCTGCTCTGCCTCTTGCCGCGACCGCTTTGCCTCCTCTCTCTTAACCTTCTCCTCCTTCAGCGCCTCGGTGCCCTCTCGCGCGAGCTCCTGAGCAATGCTGCACCCAGCGGCGCTCGCCGCCTCGCGCTGTCTACTTTCGATCAACTCCTGCTCCTTTTCTACCAGCGCTTTCTGCGCGACGGCAACACCGCCCCTTTCGACCGCGCGCTGTGTGTGCGCTGCTCCGGCCGCGTCGGCAAAGGTCCGCCCCTCCCGCTCTATGTATTTGCGTTCGTTTTTCTTGAGGTTGCGACGAAAACGATTTTTTCCTCCCGCGCCGAAGGCCGAGCGTTTGCGTTTTTTGGGGACCTCGACCGCGGTGCTTGGCGTGCTTGACTGGCCATTTTCAGACATGCGGTTCTCGCTGGTAGTTTGTGCGATTCAAGTTCGGTTTCTTGCGTTTTGTCGCTGAAAACCCGAGGCTGTGCGCTGCGGGTCCACTGTTCTACGATCACCAAACGCGGCCACGAGCGTGAGCCTTCAAACAGAATTTCATAGGGTTTTCTGTGTTGTTCGCCCGCCCTTTGAACGTCAGTAGAAAACGAACCCGCAGTCACGTGTAGACGACCTGTCTCCAGATGTGTGTAACGTATGAAGAGCCACATCGCTGCGTGGACGCAGGGACTCTTGAACAAACATACGGAGGATAAAGTATACTTTGATCGGTATGATTTCAAGAGCTGAGCTGAGAACCAACAATCCGCGTGCCCCCCCCTTTTTTTCCAAAATCCTCGAATAGACCGGTCACTTTTTTGCCGCCAAAATCGGCCCGATTGGCACCCCTAACTGTTCTTCGACTAGGCACACGCCAATCAATTTCATGGCCCTCTGTAGCCCTTTACACACTTTGATTGGGAGGGATCGGCATGATAAATAACCGTTTGGTAGACGGACGGACAACGAAACAAGCGGGGAAACATGTGTGTTCACGAAATTTCGGGGAACGTGGTCTGTTGACTCAGATTTCAGGAGTGGGTTTCGGATGAAAATCAAGGACCGACGCCTGTCTCTGCTCTGTACGCCAAGGAGTGCCTTCACGGTTTCGGCTGCTGTTTTCGTTACTGACCGATGAGACTTGAAGAGTACCGTTGGAGGGGCCTAGAGAGGCTGCACAATATGGGAGACACGAACTGTCGACAAGCCCTGAGCACAAAACTTCCTACCCTACCAGCGTCGCCCCCTTGGATTCCAAACAGGAGGTGACACTGAAAGGGTACACCCGAACGAGGAATCCAAAGAGGCGGTACACCATGTATCAGAGAGACGAACGGCAGACGTACCCTGAATCTCACAAGGTCCTACCGCGTACAGTAGCCCCCTGCGACGTATGGCTATGATGTGGGGTCGGAGCGACCAGAAATCATGGAAGAGGGTGTGTCGGCCAGCCTCGAACGAGCATCGCTCGCTACTGACTGCGAGACGACCCCACCCCGGTCGCCCGCCAATGCCCCACATACGAATACACACACAAAAAAAAAGGGTAAGATATTATCATGAACGGAGAAGAAAGGACTTTTCCAACACGGAGATGTAGCATGGATCAAAGCATTTGTTGGATTTCAGCTTTTACAAGAGGACATCAACGCAGTAGTACTTTAGCAAGATTACGAACGCATGTAGGATACCATGAGGATTTTCAAATTGAAGAGGAGATATTTTTACGATGTAAGTGACAGCAGGAATAAGTCCTACATATGTTGTTGTACTTCGTACTGGTTAAATATTCATGTAGAATATGAGACATCAAGTGAAAATTTTCTGAGGTACATCCGCAATTGTCGGAAGGCAAAAAAATACAAAAATACAAAAAAACAAAAATAAACAGATGCCTCTCCTATCTCTCCTGTTTTGCGACATGCCCACACAGGGGGCGAAAGGAAAACGACTCCCCACCTTGGTGTCGTCAGCTTCGACTCGCACAGCGCCAGCAGCTCCTTCTTCTTGGCCGCCAGAGCTAGGATAAGCTCTCGGCTCACGGGAACCCGCGCGTCCCCCCCGAGCCGGATCGCGAACGTTTGGGAGTCGTCGTTGACTATGTGCATGTGCTACACGTACACACAAGACGCACGTGTCAAACGCGACAAGAAAGCAAAGGCACGGGACGCCGACAAAGTGAACCGCAGGTTGTTGAGTCTAGTGAAACCCTGATCTGGAGCGTGTTTGCCCTGCATCACTGTTGGACAATGTGATACGTTGCCGTCTGGAGCGAAATCGTGCGAGATATTGACGCTGTCCAGTCCCCGCTATGTCCACCTCTACGCGCTGAGCTTGATTCACACGAAAAGGAAAGTTCAGCCAATCCTGTTTTTTCCTGTTCGACGTCCTTAATTTCATCGCGATACCGGTTCGCGGGTCATATTTCGTTCTCAATGTAAACAATGAAGTGGAAAAAAAGGCAGGAGTCGAACAACATTCTTGACGGCCAGGGAGCGACGGCAGCATACTGGATCAAATTACACGCCCTCATTCTTCCTCGAAAGGTCCTTCGTGTTTCCAAACGTGGCTCTCCTCGGATAACAATACCAAATTACGCAAATACTTTAGCGACCGAAAGACATGCGCGGCTCAATCAAAGATTATTGTGCACCCGACGATTTACACCAACGACCTAACGATTTGTATTAAAAGCAAACAAACGAATAAACCAACCCCAAAATAAAGGGAACCAAAACCCCTGTCTCACACACAGCAGTGCAGCTACGAAGCTTGCACCAGCGGTTAGCTGCACCTCGCACATCGACGGCGCCATCCATGTCTCGGGGATATAGACCCCTGTCTATCAACACAGACGTGTAAGCTACGAAAGGCCTACAGAAGCGAGCTAGGGTTCACCTCAATGGCGTCACTACTGCCGCAAGAGGACTAGACTCCCCTTAAACTGTCCCACCCCAGCAGAACCTGGACACCAAGCTGTTTGCAGACACGGAGATGAGGGTGTTCACCTCGATGACGTCATCAATGTCTCGGGAGATTGTGGCCTGGCGCAGGAAGCGGTAGAACACCGCCCGCGCGAACGCCTCGCCCGCGTCATCGACAACTCCCGAGGCCGGCGCCGGGTGCTGTTGGTACTGCGACATGCTTGCCGCCCAGTATTCGCGCCCTTTCCCGCCACCCCGTACCCCTTACGATTCCCAGGAACCCCGCCTTCGTCGGTCTGCAACAGCTCCCGGTCACTCCCGTTATGCCGTTGTTCCTCCTGCAGCAGTAGGTAGTTGACAATTTGAATTCGGCTCACTATTTTCTGTCACGTACGATATGCATGCATGGAGAGCAGAAAATGTGTTGCTGGAGGGGAGAACGCGACGGGTGGGGGCCATGGCGGGAATGGAGTGTATTTTGATTCTCCGGGTATCATCGGACAGCGTTTCTTGTCTGGCTGTGCTCCGTCCGGACTCTCCAGTGCAGTTTCTGGGCCTCGGGCCAGGGTAGCCAGGGAAAATATGGATCCATAGCAGACCGAGGAAACTTATGGTCGATGCTGCTGCAAGAGTTCCTGTCGTCCACTGAACTTATGAGAGTTCCATGCTCAGAATTCGCAGCAACTTTTGTGAAGGCCGAAACACCGAAGCTGTCACCGGGCCTATCTAGACTCCGTATGAGGAAGTCGCAGGGTGCTCATGGCTTGACCTTGTGGACACCGCCAGGGAGAAGAAACGCACACACATGGTGCACCATTTGCTGTCGGATCCAATGAATACGAGGGACACAATCCCGTCCACTGCGCCTACCACCATGCCCTCGAGGCTTACCTGTGCGTTGGAAACAAGGTCGGTGAACACGAATGTACACTGCTGTGTAACGGTTTCTGTGCACAGAGGTGCAGGACTGAAGCGCATGCTTCGCCCGTTATCGAGGGTCACGCTCGGCGAGAGTGCCCTGCATTAACCGTGTTACAACCCCAAAGGAAGAGGGAAGATCAACCTTTCAAAACCCAACCACGGGCTGTGTAGTTGCTGCTGTTGGCGCACCAGAGCAGTTATGTGCAGAAAAAGCCAGTAGCGGCGCAATTCCACGGAAGATGTTGACTTGCTTGGTTGCAAGTCAACAAACCAGCTCGTCGGCGGGTTTGAGCCCTGCATGCTTTCAAACATAATCAAACACAACACCATCATAGCCCTTACTTCGCGGTCCATTATGCGCTCACGAGAGGAGGGGTGAGGGCTTGCCCGTGGACATCGCTTTCGACGGCAGCGGGTGTGGGCGTCGACTCATCCACACGATGGTTGACCCACTGAGTTCTCTCGGGTTTGAGGGCTGTGCAGTTGAGGCGGTGAAAACAATCATCCATCAGACAAGAACGGACGTGACATACTCAACACTCAATCGGTGTACTTACCTCCAATATTGGTGCGGGATGTGTGAGCGCGTGTGCCGGGCAGAGGTAGCGGTAGAAACACAGCAGGCAGACTGGGAAAGCAGGAAAGAGCGGGACGCATGCACTGGGGGGGCACACAGACAGAAACAATACTGGAATATGTGCGTTTTATGTTCCCAGACCTCTGACGACCCGAACCGCTAGAGAGAGGCGGCCAGCTGCAAGTGCCACCTTGAAGCGACCGAAAAAGCTTCGGGCCTCACAGGTGGACCTACGATCGTGAGACGGAAAGGGGCAGCGGGGAGAGGGAAGTTGACGCTGTAATCATGTCTGAGTTGCGGCAGAGACCCGTGCCGGGCAGTTCAGCCGCATCGGCGGCGCCAGGACCAGGATCGACAGCAGCGGTCCCGCCTCCCGCTGGTGCCCCGAAAAAGAGCAGCGGTTGCCCAATTCAAGTCAAGAGCGGTGAGTCCGTGTATGAACATCGTGCCGGGCCGAGATGGCTTGGTTCACGGGGCATAGGGTGACTACACCCGATGCAAAACTTGAAACCTGCAGGGAGGCGTTCAGATTTATTGACATCGGTATCTCGCGCACGAGGGGGCGTGTGAATGCTGCCACGCCGGTGGCCTATGCTCAACAATGCCTTCTGGCGAAGACAACCCGCTGCTCCAACATTCCCGTGGCTCAGCATTAAGGAGCACACTGCAAAAGCGGTCGGTGGCCAAGACATGGGTGTTGAAATGCGGGATGATTCCGGAAAAATTGCGTCTGTCGTTTCTTGTCTCCTCGCTCCATGATGAATCTTTCACTTGGCTTGCGAGAAGACTCGTGTACTGGACGCCCAAATGGGGACACTTTGAGGACACAGCACTCGAAAGGCTATTTTCCGCACCGTAGTCGCCCTAGGCTCCGCTGCGTGAAACGCACGTGAGAAACCTTCGTTTATCATGCTTTGGTGGTACGCTCCGTGATTGTTGTTCAATTTTGACCCCCCCACAACCCCCCCCCCCCCCCCCCCCNTGTAAAACAAGCCAATTCACTTCGTGAACTTGGCAACCAGATTACCGTGTTTATTTTTAACCTCTGTTTTTGTTTTGGCGGTAACCATAATGGTGGTCGAGTAGATCATGTTGTGCGGGGTGGAGAACCCTCACTCCGCGCAAGGGGGACGATCGCACCACGTTGTGTTAAAATGGTCAAGCACCCTCGAGGCAGTTACACAGTGCTTACAACTCTCTCTGGAAGTGAAGTACCAGAAAATAAATTAAGTCATACGCAGCTGTCATTCGTACACAAGGAAGTAAGCACAGGATGTCAAACACCCTCAGCAGGTTGCAGCGCACCCTTCATGCGACTCGCCGAATATCTCACTGCGCTTTGCGCTTACTGATGTGAGAGCCTGGTCCGGTGAGAACCCGGCGTGCTCCGTCCCGGCTTTGTAGGGATGCGAGGTCAATGGTCTAACGACTACGGCATGCGCGATTATGAGTGCACCCCCCCCACACACACACACCTCCTTCGAGAACGTCGACGAAGACAAAGGACGGTAGACGACGAAGACAAGTTCAAATGTGACTGCTTCGAATGCGAAGACCGTGTTCATGGAGTCGCGGAATGTCAGTTGTACGAAGAGGAGAGTGTACGTGACTGAGCTGGGAAAATTACCGGGGAGGTACAGAGAGATGTTTGAGGCATGGAATAGAGAAGAGAGGACGGTAGCTGTACTGGGGAGTAGGAAGTGGTTTGAAAAGGTGGGAAGGGATATCGTTAGGATAGATAGACTAAGGGAGAAGTTTTTGAGCCACCGTTGGAAAAGTAGGAAGGAACGATTGGCCATCGGTGATCGGTCCTGTGGGAACAATGCTCCGTCTTCTCGAGGATTCGTGGTCAATGGTTTAATCGCTAAGGCATGCAAAACATCAGAGTACGCCCCCCACACACCTCCAGGAACGTACTACTACGTCCGGAAGGCGGTCGTCATCCTCTTCCCGGCCTACATCCTGTGCTGCATGTTCGGGGTCCTGGAGCCCCCTCGACCGATGGCGGAGCACACCTGGGACGCCGCCATGCTGGCGCTGGGCAGGGGCCCGCGTATCTTCTCCGCCGCTGAGCTTAAGGCCAAAGGGTCAGGGTCGCGGCCGATGCTAAGGTGTGGGACCCCCGTGCGCACCCACACCTCCTTACCGAAGAACAGCTTGCAACATTCCTGCCGTTGCTGGTTTCGTTTCGTTTCTCGATCTGATGGGAGCTGTGTGTGTGGCTTGAGGGTGTCCGTTTTGCTTGCTGCGGAGAAGACTTTCAGGCCTTTTTTCCCTCGTTGGCGTAACACCCGCACCTGTCTTTCTTCGAGGAGATGATACTGAACCGGCGTATCACACTCGTGTGGCAAGGCTTTCTTCGCCTTACCTCCCCGATCGACCATCTCTGGCATGACCGTCCGTGTGTGATGATACATTTTTCATCTTGCTCTTGGGGTTGGCGCGTGCGCTGCGTTTCGCAGCATCCTGGGAGAGGTGTTTGACGTGTCGAAGGGCGCCAAGCACTACGGCAAGGGGGGCGCCTACGAGAGCTTCACCGGGAAGGACGCCTCCCGCTCTTTCGTCAGCGGAAACTTCACAGAGGTAAAAATTGTGTGCGTATACCGAAAATATAGGGATGAGAAACCCCCCCTTCTGTCCCCTTTGGGCACCACGAAGACCTAGCTGATCTTCACGTGGGGCGTTTTTCCATCACGGCCATGAGAAAGCCTATGGACTCTGAAACCTTAGCTGCTTTCGGGACGTTCCCGCTTAGACACACTCTGCCGATTTCCGAACCCCGAGGGTCGTCTCTTGTTTTCCTTTGACATATGACCCAACAGGGTAGGGGGGACACGGTATCGTATTTTCGGGCACTTCAAGTTGGGAGGAGACATGCTGTGTGGGACATGTGCTGTCCGTCGTCCTCCTGTGTCCGTTTTTCGTCGTCCGCGCTTTTTTCGTGGTCTATGTTTCGTAGCCGCTTGTTTTCTTTCTCCTTGTGCCATCATGAGGACTGTCATTTTCTCACGGCTGACATCAAATGCTGATGTCGACATCAAGCGTCCTGTTGCCAACCAGTCGATGCTCGATCCGGTTGCTTGGCGTCACCGTGAAATCGCAACATCTTTTCGTTTGTAAGCGTATGTCTTCACCCGAAGTTCGGGATTAAGTGAGTCGACAATCAACCCGACGCCTCGTCCTCTTGCCGCCGTCGTCGTCGTTTACCGGTGGCGTTGCGGGATCTTTTTCACAGGCCGGCTTGACCGACGATCTATCGGGGCTGGAGCCGTCAGAGTGTCTTGGGATCAAGGTCGGTAAACGAATACGGCAAATGGAGGAGATACGTACTCGTAGAAGCACCGACAGGGGAAAATAGGTAGCGAAGGGATGTTTCACACTAGGCGACGGGAAAAATACCGAAGCAGGAAGGGCAGAACAATACAAAATACCATATCGAGAGGTCTGATTCCGTGTAGAATAATCGACAGAACAATCGATGCAGTTCACTGATGCTCAACAAAACTATTTTCGGTTTGACGTGGCGTCAAAGGTAAACGGGGGTAAGCGACACCGGCGCGCCAGTTTCTTGTCGCTATGTCTACCAATTGCACTTCGACCCTCGGATTCGGGGTCCAGGAAGCAGGAAACCCTTCGATGCACGCCCTAGGTGGTTCGCTGTGAGGCGTGAACGACGGCATCACCAAGCACCACGAGCAACAACAAAGCACCAAGTTGCCGTTGTCATCCCCTTGGTCGCCGCCGTCGCTGTCACAGCTTCCGTCGTCATTGTTGTTACAAGGCCACCAACAAGTGCGAACATTCCCAAACCCTACACGGCCTTGGCCTTCAACGCGAACTTTTCATGGTGCTTTTTTTCAGGGTTCTGCACGGAGCGGTTTTTTTCCACGGAGCGGAGCGGTTTACACCGCTCCGCTCCGCTCCGTGGGATTTTCCCTCCAGAAAAAACCGCTCCGCTCCGCTCCGTGACATGAACAAAAAAACCGCTCCGCTCCGTGACAATTTTGCCCTCGGATAAACCGCTCCGCTCCGCTCCGTGGGGCTTCCCAAAAAACCGCACAAGCGGTTTTTTCACGGAGCGGTTTGAGCTACTCCGTCACACAAGCACGGATAAAACCGCAATGCAGTCACGGTTTTTCCCACGGAGTGACGGTTTTTCTCCCACGGAGTCGCGGTATTTTTCTGTTTTTCTGTTCTACTTTTACAGCAGCCACACAAATAACCGTGCCCACGCACACAGCAGCAGTCCGTGCCACACACACATACACTCCGCGCAACGCACTCCGTGCACATCAGTCCGTGTGCACGTCTGCCTGATGGAGTCGACACCCGACCCTGGCGACCGCCCTTCTGGCGACCGCTCTTCTGGTGCTGCTGGTGCTGGTGCTGGTGCTGGTGCTGGTGCTGGTGCTG